CCAAAGACCAGCAGAACATCCCAGAGAGCTCTAAAAATCAAGGCCAAAGAGAGAGGGCTGCCTTCAGGCCTGAACGATGGGGCCTGCCCAAAGCAAGGGTGCTGCCTGCACAGCCCCTGGGGGGTCAAGGTTATGGGAGGGAGCTGTGCTCCAGGGCTCCTGTGTGTGGAGGCTCATATGGAGAGATGCTGAAAACTCAGGCTCTGCTTCTTTCCCGCTTCTTTCCGAGGTGGCCTTGGGGTCTATGGAGGTGTTTCTTTGAGGGACACCTGGGTTAGAATGCTTTGGAGGGTTCCAGCTTTCTGGTCCAGAAAGCAGCCAGGTGAGGGAGGAGGCAGAGGTGGGCCCATTTCCAGAGATGACAGTATGGGTGCAGACAGAGGTCAGGCTGCTGCCTTGGTTCCAGGACTCTCAGACGTGCTTTCCTGGCCCCAGCTTTCCCAGGGGAAGTTGACACCCCTGTTGTGCCCAGATCTTCTGGGATCTGGATGGAAGGACAAATTCTATCTTAACTGGAAGGCTGCACTAAACCAGATAAGGCCTCTGAGGCCAGAGTGAGGACCCCTCTAATAGAAGACTGTCTCCCCTTCCCTCCTCCACCCCACCTGTCTCCCTTCTCTCCCATTCAGCTTTTACCTGCCTTACTGGGGCTAAAGACCTAAACCTGCTGATCTCGGTGGTGCTCCCACTGATTCTTCCCTGAAAATGAGTCCTGGAAGCACCACTGCTTCAAGAGGCCTAGACCACCCCCAAAGAGGCATCGCCTGAGAAGGTAGCCTGGGAGTTTAGGGAAGATGGATGCAGGTCTTGCCCCTGGCTGAGTCTCAAGCCTCAAGCTTAGACTGTCAGTGTCCACAGCTGGAGTGGACTCTGCTCCCACATTGGGCTCCCCCAGGCATTCTCATCCAGTGACTGACCAGTACCAACTCCCACATGGATACAGCAGGCTGGCCTGAGGGGAGGCCACACCTCCAGTTGTGGAATGGGGGTTTCTGCAGCTAACTCCTACCTCACCATTGGAGAAGTTAGTTTCAGTCCTGCCAGACTGCCCTTTCTCCCAGGAAAAGATGGGACTCCTTAACTTGGCAGAAGGAAGCAAGAAGGAAGGTCTGGACTGGGCCTGCACTCCCCAGCCATAAACCTCATCGCCTCAGGGAACCATTAGTGTTCCCCTCAAGGCACTGGAAAGGTGTGCTCCAAGGACATCTGTGACTCCATTGGGTCACTGGGAAGTGGAAACTTGGATGGAGAATGGGGAGGGAGTTGCTAACAAGTAGGGCGAACCGGGAAGGCACCCGACCGGGGGCCAGGTTTAGGCTCCAAAAGACAAAAGCTCCGAGAAATGAACTGACTTGTACAGGGGACCCCAGGCAACTGAGTAGGGAGCCCACCTGGGGGCCGCCACTGTCTGACCCCAAAGTCCAGGTTCTTTGGGGCTAGGAGTAGGCACGAAGGAGCAGGTGACCGCCCCTCCTGGCCGGCCGGGCTTTGGTTTGGGTCACCTTCGCCCTCTCTCCCCTGGCTGGCGGGCTCCATCGGCGATCAGACGGCGGCGCAGAGACAATGGCGCTCTGTCCCGGGCGGGCGCTCCGGGACGACAGCTCATCCCTATGCAGTGACCGCCTCCCCCATCCCGACCCGGCCGCCAGCCCCTTTCAGGCGGTGGAAGCCGGGCGGCGGCGGAGGGGGATTCTCACAGGCCGTTGGAACATTTGCATAGCCGGCTCGCCCGCCGGGAGACATTGGCCCGCATTGTTCCCCGGCGGCGGGGCGGCGGGGCGGCGGGGCACACGGGGCCGGGCGCGCTGGGCAGCTCGGCCGACCGGCTGCGAGAGGGCGGGAGGGCCAGACAAAGGAGCAGGGCGAGCGGAGCCGGGAGGCGACAGGTGGGGGAGATCCTGACGGTGGGAGAGAAATATCGGGGTGAGGTGGGGAACGCGGCTTCTGGGCCTGTCTGCTCGGGACAGCCACCGCCCCCCACCTTGGACACCCACGCCGTGTCTAATTCCTTCCCGAGCTGGGGCAGCCCGTGGCCGTGATGTGAATCCCAATAGGGGGGATATCAGCCTTTCCCAGGCGGCTGGGGGTTCGGAGAGCCCGGGTCCTCCAAAGGTCAGAGGAGCAGCTAGTAGGTCCTAGCCAAGGGACACTCTGGCCACACAGAAGCACCCTGAGGTGACCTCCCATTTAGATGTCTGGGCAGGAAGCCCTGTTGTGGCCCACCTATACTTATGCCAAGCCAGAACAGTTACCATGTGAAGAAACCCTTCCCTCCTCCATATCTGCTGTCTGAGGGGGTGACGCTGAATGAAGCATAGCATTTCCATCCCCTTGCCCCCCCCCTCCCGGGAGGCGGGCAAGGGCCCAGTGTCCTCATCCCTCATTGTCCCCAAAGCTCAGGCATTGGGGCTGGACACACAGAGTTCATGAGTGGGCAAGTGTCCGATTGTCCTGCATTGAGAGTAATAATAGTGGTGATCAGAGGGGCTGTCCCTCAAGGGCAGAGACCTCATTGTCCTGAAGGGCTGAGGAAGGAGCCCCCCCTGGCTCCCAGCCCCACCGTCTCCTTGACCCTGTTGACCCCCTTGTCACCCTGTTGACCCAGCCTGAATGGATGGGCCACTGTGAGGGGGACGGGTGGTGCTGAGCAGGAGGCTAGAGGGAAGAGGGGGAGGGGCTTGGGCTTGCATCAGCAGAGTACCACTGAGGACACCCAAATTTCCTGCCCTCCTTGCCTGAAAGTAGTGATGAAATGATCACCCCGCAAACAACAACCCAGTCTTATTAAATGGAATAGTCCTTGCAGTGCTCAAGGGAGGTGCCAGGCACTTCAGGCAAAGTTGGGGGAGGAAAGGAAGAAACCCAAAGTACCCAGGGCCTGTTTTAGGAGAGATCAGTCCTGGACAGAGTCTCTGACCAGGGATCAAGATGCTGGATCTTATAGAAGTCAGCAGCATCTCCCAAGCAGCAGGAGGCTTTTTGGAGGTGACTAGAGCCAAGACAGTCAAACTGCAGGATATGCAGGGACCACCTACCCTGACCCCTTTTCTAGGAACCCCTTGGGGAACCATGCTGGCCATCTAGTCTTTCCTCCTTGGGAAGCTTGCTGGGTAGTGGTCTGTCCCCAGAGGGCTCAGTCTAGCTCAGTTGCCTCCAGGGGTTTGCCACCCTGGACACAGTGACCATGCGGGGCTAGAGCAGCCCAGTTTTTAAGACCTGGAGATTTGTTATGGTCAAGAAGGAATCAGTAGTAGAGGGGGCTGGTAGTAGAGATTTTAAAATGTTGGTGGCAAGAAGTAACTTTGTAGTTTTTCCCACCCAGAATGAACCAGTAGAGAGGACCTCCTCTTATTCTTGAAATCTCCCCTTTTGAGATTTTTAGATCTGTGAGGACTAGTAAGGGGTTTTGGGCATAGCAGGTCAGCTGGCCCTACTGGGACAGGTGCTGGGGTGGGAGCAAAGACCCTGAAAGATGGGACTGCTGAGGGGCTGACAGGACAGGGAACCTTTCTGCAAAGTCAGCAGTCCTTTTCTGCATGGGCACAGGGATCCCCCCCCCCCCCATAACTATCCCAGCCAGCAGTGAGCAGGGGGCCTGTGGAGGAAGGCAGGAGCTAAAGGGCAGGAAGCAGATGTCCCATGCGGCTTTATCCCTGGCTACCTTCCCTGTCCTCCACTCTGTGCCTGGTGTCTTTTCCCAGGCAACCCAGCCCCTGCAAGGACAGTGAGGATAGAGACTAAGGAGCATCTTTGCCATGTCCAGGGCCAACTCACAGATCCCTTCATTTTCTCCTTGGGTGCCAAGTCTGAGTAGATCTTGGTTATGAGGGAGAGAGGTCACAGTCAAGTTCAATTCCTGGCAGAGGGCTGGAGGGGAAGGACAGGAGAGGACAGAAGGGTGTCCCTGTCCTTCAGGATTGGGAAGGGAGTTCCCGCCTACTAGAGGGATGGATTCCCTTTGGATGAGATATCCGAAGCCTTTAGTAGCCACCTCACATGTAGTGGGGGCTGGGAAATCAAAAAAGGCTTGTGGCATGAATGGTGAGAGCCAGGCCTGAAGCAGACAGAAGGCAGTTAGGCTGCGGGAAGGACTTCCGTTCTTGGCAGAGGGCTAGAGGTGTGAAGGCCGCAGCTTCCTGCGCTGGGTCTGGAGCGCCTCCTGGCGGTCAGCTGATTCAGGCCACTGGAGGCCCTGGGCCTGCTGATTCCCATACTTCTAGTGGCAGCTCTCATCTGTTCTTTCTACTTCCCATTCTTCAGATGCAGGGTTGGGACGTAGGTGGAACCTGGGAGCTGGCTGCTTCCAAATTCAGAAGAATCGTGGCAAAGAATTCCTTCTGCCCCTGTAAGCCCTGAAGAGGACCTTCTTTCCTCCCTGCTCAGAGGCTACCCAAGTTGAAGGGCAGAGCCATTCTGAAATAGAAAACTCTACCCCAACCTGAGCTGGCCGAAAGAGCTGGCTTTCTGGGAAAGAATGAGCTCTTCAGTTCTGTCTCTGAAGACAGGCAGGCTCAGGCTGACCACCACCTAGGAGAACCTCGGATCCGAGGGGGAGGTCCATGGACCAGGGGCAGAGGCAGAGCTCTAGTCCCAGTGCACAGGAATCGGAGACCTTGGGAAGTGGAGTTTATCACCCTGACAGCCAGGCCCTGGCTCAGATCTCACAAGGACAGGTGCTGGGTCAGTGGGATCAGAAGTCGCTGGGTGCCTCACTTGGGGCCCCTTCTACCCACATGCACGGGTTAGTGGGCTGGTGGCATGCGGTTGTGGTGAGGCTCCCCTCGTCACAGCCACTGTGGCCATGCTCCTCTGCCTCTCCCAGTCTTCTAAGGCCTCTTCCTCTTCCCCAGTGGTGCCTCTAGAAAGGAAGCTTCTTCTGGTTCGTAGCTTCTTTTTTGTAGCAGGAGGGATGTGAGCTAGAAAAGAACTTCCCAGAAGTTCATCAATAGCCAACCCTCATCTTCTCAAAGGAGAGTGTCCTCTTAGGGGCTGGAAGCAAGTTAGGCCTGAGTATCTGGTTCCTCAGCCCTCAGGGGTCCCTGGGCCTCATCCTCATGCTCTCCAGGCACCTGGAAGGCAAGGGCAAGGATCAGGTGAAGGGCGGAGCTCCAGGGAGCTGAAGGTAACACCAGAGAAGAGTGAGCAGGCAGGGGAGGAGGAGGAGGCCCGTGAGGGGGAGTGGACCAGGGCCTGTGGGCCATAGGTCCTGCTTACCTCCCAGTAAATCTGGTCCTCATAGCACTGGGAGTCCGGCGGTGAGCCCAGGAAGGGCAGTTTCAGCAGGAGCCCTGGTGTGGGAAGGGGGGGACACATGAGACTTTGCACCCCCGCAGAGGGCACAGAGGGGCTGGGGGCGCCAGCATGTGAAAATTGCAGCTGGGTTTTCCAGCACCTGCTCTGCTATGGAAGTGCGGAGTTCTTGCTCTGTATCACCTTCCTGGGCAGTTGCAGCAACTGCAAAGGGGAGGGTCTGTGATCCCTGTGGTGCAGAGAAGGGACCAAGGGTCGGAGACGGGAAGGAACTGGCGCAACTTGGTAAACGATAAAATGACCACTCTGTCACGAAGCGCCACTGCTGAGCTTTCTGTGGCCTCCGTCACAGGGGTGCAGAAAACGTTCACTGACTAAATGAGTAATTCAGTGAGTAGGTGAGTCCACCTTTGTCAGAGAATGGAAATCTGGAGGTGAGAGGAGGAGGATGGTGGGACACTGACCCATAGGTTTTATATTGAACGCCAGACACCAAGAAGGCGGACTGAGCCGCATCAGGGGGCAACCTCTGGTGGAAGGCTTGTGGACTGGGGCTGGCTGTGGGCTGGGGCTAGCGAGAGCCAGCAGCCCTCCCTCCTGCCCCTGCGGGCCTCATCCTAAGCTTGGGCTGCCCTCTAGTGGGCAGAGGGGGCAGCATCAGGGAGCCCTGGAGCGCCCGCAGAGGGACCAACTAGGCACTAGCAGCCTCCCCAGCCCTCCTTGACAGCTGGAAGGAGCAAGTGTCCATCTTCCTCATGCCTGGAGGAGGTTACCCCTGAACTCTACAACCCCACCCCTCATCTGGAACAAAGTAGGTGCACAGTAAGTACCTGCGAGTGAACGAATGATGGTCAGAGGGATGGGATCCTCCGGCCCTTCCTCTGGAGAGTGCCCTCCCCTCAATCCCCTGCCCTCCCGATCTCCTTCCAGATCCCTGTGCCCACTCAAGGCCGCTCACCTCCAAATCCCCCACCTACAGAGGCAAACGTCAGCGTGACGAACAGCCCAAAGAGCTGGTACACTGCCTGAGACTTGGCGCTGCGGTCCCCCTCGGCTATGAGCGGGAACACGGTCTCCAGGCTGTGGGGAGACCAGATTGTGGGGAGACAGAGAGCCAGCTTGGAGCCAGGCTGGCAGTGCGGCCATGCACCATCAGCCTGAGCACCCGCCCTACCCAACACCCCCTGCGCCAGTGGGCGCCAATTCACCAGCTGAGAGTCGACTTAAGGGTCACTTTTGCTTGCCCTCTCCCCTGAGCCCTGGGTGCAGAACTGACACTGAACCCTCGTTTCTTACTGACACTTTTGAATCACTTGTTCAATGACCTTCTGCTGCACTTGGCTGAGGACCAGGAAGGCAGGGCCCAGTTGGTCTGTTTACTCCAATTTCCTCAGCTCCCAGAATATGGATGAATGAATGAATGAAAGTAGACGCTCCTTTTGCTCGTCCACAAAGGGAGGTAGAGAGTGGCAGAGGTCATTCTCAGGGACAAGGACCACAGTATGACGGGGGGGGGGGTGAACTCACCCATCTCCGTAAGTTTCATAGGTGGCCAACCAGGCCACAAGGACCCCCAGGAGGGCACCCAGGATCCCTGGCATCCCGTGGAGGTTGTGAACACCACATGTGTCTTGGACTTTAAATTTTGATTCCAGGATGGGCTGGAAGGCAAGACACCGATAAGTCTCATGTGTCCCTCTCACCGCGTTGGGCCTTGGGAGAGGTGAAAGGAAGGTGCCAACACCCCTTGATCTCCCCAGAGCCCAAGAGACCTCTGTACCGTGAGGAACTTGTACCCCAGCGTGGAGACAGCCCCAGCCAGGAAGCCAGCTGCAAGCGCCCCAAAGGGTGTCAGCATCATTTCTCCTGCCGTCCCCACCACCACCCCTCCTGCCAGCGCTGCATTCTGGATGTGGACCTGAGGGAACAAGAAAAGACAAGGCGCCAGAGGCCTTTTTAGGTCACCTGTAGCCACCCAGCCCCTTCGACCACAGCAGCACCTGTTGCTTCTGGAAGTTTCTCTAACTTCTGACCCTTCAGCTTAGGATCATCCCCTCCCCACTGACCCCATCCTGACCCTGAGGACTGCTTCCAGAGCAGAGGAGCCCCTGTGCCTGTACCCCGAAGAAGTGGGTTCGCCAGGACCCAGACACCCCCTCCCCTCCCATCCAGCCACCTGCTCCCCCAAGCCGCCTCCTCATACCATGTCCAGCCGCCCATCCCCCCCGACAAGGGCTGACAAGGCGAAGGTGCTGAGGGTGCTCGCTGTCAGGGAGTAGTAAGTGTTGAGGGCTGTCCGGTGCTGCCCGTCCCCCAGAGTGGTCGGTGCAGAGTTGAAGCTTGGCCAGAAGATCCAGAGGAAGATGGTCCCTAAGTGGTGGGCAGGCAGCTGAGTGAGAGGAAGTGGCTTCCATGCCAGGTTCAGGCTGCATAACTGCCTGCGAGGTACCTACTCTCAGCAGTCTGTTGGCTTATCTGTAGCGTGGGGCCTTAGTACTGAGCTCACAGGGGAGGGCAATGTGAAGTTCACAGCCCCGGGCTGAGCAGGCTGGGAATGCCCCACTAGCAGTAGCTACCACAGGTGCTAGCACAAGAGGGAGCTCCCAGAGTGAAAACCAGAGGTTGAGGGTTTTTTTAAGTGTCAGGAAAGGAAGGAAAAAAGAGACAAAGGTCACTAAGCTAGGTACTTCCTAGTTAGATCAAGAACATAACTTGTTTTATAACCTCAGCTGCCTTGAGGGTGGGCCTTGCAAGGTGTGGAAGAGGCCTTTACCGCCTTGCAAGGTCCCCAGGTGGTCCCAGAGGGAGAGGAGCAGGACCTGAGGGGCCCTGTAGGCTCGGCTGGCATGGCCAGGAGGCCCCAGTACTGAGTGGTCCTTGGGGTGCAACAGAACTTCTCCCTGCAACCCCACACTGAAAGCAACTGAACTCATGCATGTGTCCTCTTAAGAGAGACTTTAGGCAGGAATCAAGGAATCAAGGAAGAGGCCAGCTTTCCCATCTGGACGGAGCTGAGAGCAGAGGAGGTCTGAGGAAGTAAGCCTCCCAGGAAAGCACAGACATCTTAGAGAAGCCTTTGGACTTGAAGCCAAACTTATCTGGGTCTCAAAGGGCAAGGAGGCCTCAGCTGACCTAAGGTTCCTCATATTCTATTTCACAACAAACCCAAAGAAATAAGAAACCAGGCCCTCCCTGGTGGCGCAGCACTGTGAACCTGGCCATGGCTGCTTGGGTGCAAGTTCGATCCCCAGCCCGGGAGCTGACCCACATGGAGCAGCAGACCTTTTCTGTCTCGCCCGCTGCTCCCCTCAGCAGTGTACTTTGTCCATCTGCTTGTTCTGCTCCCCACTCTGGCTATGGTGAGTCCTCTCATCCCCCCGTACCTCTGGCCCGCACCCCAGTTCTGTATGCGTAAATAAATATTTAAAAAGATAAATAAGAAATCAACCTCCTCTCTTTTTTTTTGCTGTAAGAATAGGCACGTTAGTCACTATTCAGCACTGCCTGTGAAAATTTAAAATACTGGTTTCTTTCCCTGGCTCATTTCTGAAGGTAGAGAAACAGAAGCCACTACAGAGGTGTGTGCTCAGAAGAAGCACACAATGATGATGAAGGGGCTCCGGGTCCTCCCAGGGTGGCTGGAGACCTCCCTCCCACCCAGAGAGCAGAGGCAGCAGGACATGGAGGGGAAGAAGTGTCCTATACAGGTAGAAAGCAGCATCAGGGCAGAAGTGCTAGTAAGAGACAGGGAGAGGCGAGGCTGGTGGCAGCCAGAGTGGGGGGACGGTGAGGGAGGAGGAAGGACAGCGTGGCCGAGCCCTGCAGGGGCAAGTACATCGAGCTCAGGAGTCCAGTCTGTAGTTTGTGGGTGGTAGGGGCCTCGGAAGGTTTTAAGCAGGGATTGGTATGATCAGACGTGGACTGGGGGCGTGTGTGCACCCCAGGGCTGAGTCCTAAGAACCTGCCATCAAACTGAAGAGAAAGATCTGTACAGATCCCAGGCGCCCACAGCAAAACCCAAATCAGAAGGGAGCTTCCAGGCAGAACCCCGAGGAATAGGCAGCACCCTGAACCCATGCCTGGAGATGGTACTTTGCAGCCCAGATTGGGGGCATCTGGAACAGGCCCCAGCCACCCCACCTCGGTAGGCCTCACCGATCATGGCAAAAAGGTCCGAATGGTAGACAGAGCCCTGGCGATGTTTGCTCTTCTCCAGCTGGGGCCTGTAGAGGACCCGAGAGAGGACCAGCCCGAAGTAGGCACCAAAAGTGTGAATAGTCATGGAGCCCCCTGCGTCCCTCACCTGGAAAAGGGGAGCTGAGCTGGAGGGCAACTCCAGGCACTACTCCCACACCCACCCCACCCCATGTTTTCCCTGTTCCGGCCTGGCCCGGGCCACCCTCACCCCGACCCCACCCCCCCAGACTCACCCCCAGGAGATTGAGGAGCACAAACTCGTTGATACCGAACAGCCCCACCTCCAGCAGGGCCATGAGCAGCAGCTGTGCCGGCCCGGTCTTGCCCAGGACGGCCCCAAAGGAGATGAGCACAGCCCCAGCGCAGAAGTCGGCGTTGATCATGCTGCGGGGAGGGCATAGAGGGCATCGCGGAGGGTGGGAAGGAGCAAGACCTGGATGGCACTTGGGGGGTGCGAGAGGTCTGTGCTCCCCCTCGGCAGGTTGGAAGGGGCTGTCTCTTGGCTTGTAGATGGGGAAACCAAGCCGTGAAGGTTCTGTGATTTGTCAAACAAAACCCACAAAGGTGGAAGGACCAGATGTTGAACCAAGAGCTCCCCTGAACCCTGTCACTTCCCATGAAACACTATTCTCCCCACAGCTCTTGGGTAATTAGGGGCCTGAAGAAATGGGGAGGTGTGGCTGAGAGTGTGGGCTGAAGAGAGGAGGAGAAATCGGGCTATGAGAACCGGCAGAGCACTTGTGGGAAACCTGGGTCAGTGTGCCAACTTGGGATCTCGGGGTAGACCTGGAGGTGGGCACAGGGGCTGCTGCTGCCCACCTCTCCACGCCAACATGGATGTGGCCGCCATGGAAGGAATGGAAGAAGCCCTGGACGAGTGTGGCCCACTGCAAGGCAAAGGCAGCCAGGAGGAAGGTGAAGCCCACACTGCTGAAGCCGTAACGCTGCAGGAAGGCCATGAGGAAGCCGAAGCCCACGAAGACCATGGTGTGCACGTCCTGGAAGCCTGCGGAGGCATTCGGAGCTGCTCAGGCCACACCTGGCACCACCCGCCCCCAGCGCTCACCAGCCAGGGCCACCCCAGGCGGGAGGTGAGCCTATAAAACTCCCCAGGCATGGCGGTGCCTCCCTGCGCCCTGAGAACTGGCCAGCTCTGAGCAGTGAGACCCAGACCAGCCCTGCTATCTCCAAGTGGCGACTCAGAGCCTCCTGCTTGCGTCTCTGGCCCACACATTTGCCTGGTCCTTGGCTCTCTTAAAGACCAACCTATGTGCCCTCCCCCTGCAGCCTCTGCCCCTCCAGACGCCAGTCTCTTGCCCCTCAGGCTTGATGTCTATCCTTCACCCTCCGACTTGAGAATCTGTACCTCTCCATTTTGAAGATTTAAATGATTGAAAAAAAAAAAAGACACAATGGTGTCCATGGTGGCACAATGGATTAAAGTGCAGCTCTAGGAAGCTACCCGCAGCCACTGCAACACAAGTTCGATTCACAGCCAGGGAAGTGATCCACATGGCGCAGCAGACCTCTCCTGACCCGCCCGCTGCTCCCCTCAGCAGTGTATTTCAGTCAGTTTGCCTGTTCCGCTCCCCACTCTGGTGACTTCTCTCACCCCTGCACCTCTGACCTATATCCCAGTTCTTGTATGCAAAAATAAATAAATATTTTTTAAATTAAAATAAAGCCCCTCTTGAGGAATTTCTCTTAAAACTTAATGTGAGGAATTATCACCTCCCCTGAGAACAGGCTGTTTTCCTCACTAGGGCAAGATCCAGACAACTGGATCTGGAAATGGAGCTGCCCCAAGGCCACCACGGCCCTGCCCTCGTGAGAGTGAAAGGCAGACATGAGGAACCACGGTTCTGAGAGGTGCCCAGCACTGATCACATTTCCTCTTTCTCTTAGTCACTTGCAAGCACAGAGCCACCATGGGATTGTACCTGCAGCAGCTGTGAGCCCTCCAGGGTCATTATTTGTGCTCAGTTTCACTTTTCTTATGCTTCAACAAGTGTTTTGCTGTAAATTACCTTAAACCTCTTGTAGAAAAAATCATGGTCACCTTTTTTGTTTAATGTGCTTTTCTTTTTGTTTAATGTGAAGCACCAACTGGTCAAAAATATATTATTGGACTTTAGAATACAATCAATAACTTTGAGAAAAGCAAACGTCCATTTTTCCTCTGTGCTGTCCATGGGGTGATAGGAAAGGCGTCTGCAGCCCTGGGCAGAGGGGGTGTGCGCCCAGGGAAGGTCTGCAGCTCAGCTGCCACCCCAGCAGCAGAGGGGAGCGAGAGCCTGGGGGCCCTGTAGCCTCTCTAGGGTGCCGCTTCTCCAGCTCTTCCTGCTCCCCAAAGCACCCAGATTTGTCTCTCTCCACCTTAAAACAGCAGGAAAGGAGAGCAGCAGACAGGACTCAGCCTGCTGCCCAACAGCTGTCAGAATTCATTTCCTGACTTCTTTTTTTCTTATACAAATAATAGGGTGCCCTGACTGTCCTCATGCAAAGGACAGCCAGATAAGAAAGGGGCTGGGTCACAGGGCTCTGTGACACACCGAAACCACCCCAGAACTGGCCTTGAGTGACAATAATATTTATACCTCCCATCCCAAGTTTGTTTGGAATAGAAACTCAATCGCTTGGTCTTGCAACTGGAGTCTAATCGTCAAGAAATCTCCCTCCCTGGGCAGCATTCCACACAGATACTATCCAGGGGCAGTGGGAGAGACAGGGTTATTCCAGCTGCAGGCAGGAAGACAGAGCAGATGACCCTCAACGTTCCCCTGCTGAACCCACACACCCCACTGGTTCTGGAGAAGATGAAAACCCTTGAGTCACCTACAACCCTCTCGCCTTCCCTTTATGTTCTCCCCAAACCTTCCAGGTGACTTCTAACCAAGACAAGACTTGAGGGGAGCAGTTCATGCTGGGATGGCGCTGGATTCCTCTGACCTTTGCTCTGGCCATAACATGGGCAGACAATTCCCTCTGAGAGCCTCAGTTTCCTTATCTGTTAGGTGGGGTATAAAATATGAGGAGCAGGTGGCAAACCTCTCCTGACCTGCCTGCTGCTCCCCTCAGCATTGTATTTCGTCCATCTGCCTGTTCTGCTCCCCACTCCGTCCCTGGTGAATCTTCTCACCCTCCACATCTCTGGCCTGTATCCCAGTTCTGTATAAATAAATAAATAATCTTTTTTTAAAAAATATGAGGAGCAGAAAGTTGGGAACAGGCAGCTGAAGGCTCATTTCCCGTCACCATACTCTATCCCTGGACTTAAACCTTCTGAGCCTCAGCGTCCCCATCTTTTCCTGTCATAGACTGAGATAATGCATGTGCCACCCTTGGTATTTCTAGAACATTGGAGACATATGAAAGGGTGTTGTTGTAAAACTGGAGCAACTTCATCTCAGAATGAGGGGGTTGCCCACCTAGGAAGAGATCTGAGCATCAGCCTCTAGGAGACCAGTCTGGGCTGTATCTCCTAGAAGTGGCCTTAGACCACTCTGGTCCCCTTCCCCTTCATCTTCCCAGAAGATCCTGGTCCCTTCTAGTGGAAATCCCCTCCCTACAAGTCAGGTCCTAGAGCTGTATAAAAAGGATGTCTTCATATGTTGTCTTAGAACCCTTTCTCAGGTTTGCTTCTGTGGTTCCTGTAACCCTGATCTTTTCCCCTCTTTCTTCCTTTCCAGTACTTGCCTCATGGGACAACACACTTGTAATACAGGGAAAAGGATGGGGAACAAAGAGACCTGGTTCTAGCCTGGCTAACATGCCATGTGAGCTTGGGTGGTCACGTACTTCTCTGGCTCTCCACATCTGCGAGGGGTGGGCCAGATGGGCTCTGAGGGCCCCTCCTATAGATAACAGCCCCTCAGCAGCCACCCCTTGGCACTGGCCAGCCCCACAGCTCAACATCAGCCGCAGAACTGCCTTTCATCTCCTGAATCAAAGGGCAGGGGTCATGCCCCCTCTGGCCCCGGTCCCTTTCCCTGGACCAGGGACAAGTGAAGACCCGGTTCATCAAAGCCTAGGCTCTAGGGACCTCACACTTCCCTCCCCCACCTTCCCCACACCAAGGTTCCAAGTCCACTGGGATAGAAACAAGGGCAGAAAAAGAGGTAGTAGTCCCATGGTTCCTCTCATTGCAGTCCAGGGAGGAAACGCTGGGTGTCCAGGGAGAGTCCACCATTGTAGCAGAGACACAAGAAATTGGGAGGCTTCAGGGAAGACTTTGAAACAAGCAGGTTTGGGGGGGCTTGAATGAGGCCCATGGAAGAAGAGAGTGTGGGTTCATGGCAGGCATCCAGGTCTGACCCTCACTTCTCTCAAGAAGAGAAAAGTTGGCCTCTCCTGCACCTCTTCCCTCCCAACTCCCTATCTCTCTCAATAAATGCACAACTCCAAGAATCTGCCATCCCGGCATCTAGGCTCCCGTCTTCCAGAGATGGGGTGAAATGAAGGGATGGCAGAGACCTCTTTTGTCTAGTAAAGCTGGGGGTCTAACCTTCCACGCCCACCCCTCTCTCCATATCCTCAGCATTATGAGCTTCATTTTGTTGGGGTTGGGATTGGGACAGGGTCAGCTGGGGTCAGTCAGCCACCAGTTCTGCATGTAAAAGTAGGGTAATAACAGTCTGAGTTGGTTGTTTGTTTGCTTGTTTTTTTTTAATAGGAGTCTCCCACACCCTGGGCCTTGTTTGAATGCACACCTTCAAACTGAGGCATCCTTCTCCCCATTGACCAGATGGGAGAAACTGAGGCTTAGAGAAGATCTGCCCAAACATTTGTGATGGCATATGGGAGATCTGGTGTCCTTGGTCCCAGCTGCTCTGGACTCCAGCACATGATTGGGTCCACAACCTCGAGAGGGAGGCTGTTTCTCCAGCAAGGTCCAGGGGGTTAGCAGTACCCAGTCTGGACCTAGGACATCCGAGTCCTACCTAGGCTCAGCTCTGTCAACTCACGAGGTGGATGAGCACCAGCAAGTCACACTCCCTTTGAGCCTCAGCTTCCTCACTGTGAGGTGGGTTAATGACCCTGCCAAGGCTCTGTTCTATAGTTGGCTGTTGAGTAGTCCCACCATTTTCTCTCTGACTCTGGAAGAACCAGCTTTTCGGGGCTGGAGAAGAAATGCCTGCATCCCATTAGTATGGCCCCCTTCATAGCTAATGCCTGCCAGTGCCTCCTGCATCTGACTCCCTACCTCCCCTGCCCAAAAGGACCCTCTCTCCTTTGGTCAGGGTGGAGGCCCCAGAAAAGGTAAAGCCCAGCAAAGCTGGGTCAGATCTGAGTTCAAATCCCAACTCCCTCAATTCGACATTGCAAACTGGACTTGACCTCTCTGAGCCTCAGTTTCCCTATCTTTGTCTACCACATTGAGTAAGTGAGAAAATGCATGTACCATCCTCAGCTATATTATCGGGAACATGGCAGGCACGGGAAAGTGTTTTATTATCAATCTGGCCACCTTCACCTCAGAGCTAAAGGGTTGCCCTCTTAGGGATAGATCTGGGTACCCAAGTGCCCTTCCCAAGACCCCGGAGAACTCAGGACCTGGCTCCCCACGCGCCCTGACCCGCACTCACTTGGGTAACGAAAGTAAAATTCATTGTCCGCGGCGTTACTGTGATTGCCCGAGTGCCACAGGGCAGCGTCGGTTTCGCGGTTGTAGCGGACAAAGACCGCAAAGAGGATGGCGGTGACACCCTGGAGGAGGAGACACAGCAGGGGCAGCTGCAGGCGCCGGCTCGCGGCGCGGCGGGGGGACCCGGCCATGGGACGTGGCTGTCAGTCTCCGGCTGGAGCTCCTGGAGACTGCTGAAGCAGACACTTGCGGGGCGGGCCGCGCTGGTTTCACTGGAGTCGGGCCCCGCCCAACGAGGGTCCCGCCCACCGGAGGGCCCCGCCCCCACACGCCAGGCCCCGCCCACAAATTAGCAGGTTCTGGCCAGAGCGCTGTGTAGGAGAAGGGGTGTGGGGCCTGGGCAGAAGGTCTGCATGTGGGCAAGGACTGGGCGGCGACCCGCACATCCTGTCTGTCCTGGGCATCTGAACCTGGCTCTGTCCAGGGTAGGTCAGGTCCTTGGGAATGACCCTGGAAAGGTATCCTATGTTCTGCCCTACTGGGGTACAGCTGTGGACCCCGCAGCAGGGAGAGGGAGGCGTCCTAGCCCCTCAAACGGGTGTTCTTTAGAGGGTTTCCTAAAGAATTAGTGGCCTTGAAAGGCCTCAGTCTGGACCTCGGGGTTAACAGAAGAGAGTAGCGGGGTTACTCAATCTATTCCCAGCAGCAAAGCAAGATAGAGACTGGAGATAGAGCGACTTCTCACCAAACATTGATGATCAACCTGCTGGGGGATGTCTGAGTCTCAGCAGTGAAGTTCCTCACCCCCTTCCAAAACTCCACCTCCTCACCCCTAGTCTGCACCCCATGACAAAGTAGCCAGCAGGCTGTGTTTCCGAGTCCCCTGCAGAGCCTGCAGTGGCAATGAGAGGCCTGGACCATCTCTGCAGCTGGAAGGGAGGGAAGCGAGATGCAGCTAGTTAGGCTCCCTTATCAGTCTGGAGCTGGTTGTTGCACAAGCAAGGTTTGCTTTCAAGGAGGTCATGGGAGACAACCAGCCAGTCCACAGGCGTTATTCAGCCCTTGCTGTTTCCCAGGTTTCAGAGATGAGCTTTTGGCCCCTCCCTCCAAGAAATCACTGTCCAGTTGAGAGAGACACTTAGGAAGGGATTTCATTACCACTGGGATAAATGTGTGACCTTGGAACTGGGGGGCTCAAGAAGAGAAGCTGCAGGCTTGAAGAGGTGAGGGAGGGCACAGAGATAGAAGGCTGCTTCCTCTCCTAGTCTCTCCTATATCTGCTGGGAGTCTAGAAGAAACACTCAGAAATAGGGCCAGTGGGGGCCCACCCTGGTGGCGCGGGGGTTAAAGCACAGCACTATGAAGTATGAAGCTATGTGCAACCACTACAGCACAAGTTCAACTCCTGGTCAGGGAGCTGACCCACATGGCACAGCAGACCTCTCCTGTCTCACCTGCTGCTCCCCTCAGAGTGTATTTCAGTTGATCTGCCTGTTCTGCTCCCCACTCTATCTGTGGTGAATCTTCTCACACACCCCCACCCTGCACCTCTGTCTTGTACCCCAGTTCTTGTTTGCATAAATAAATAAATCTTAAAAGAAAGAAAGAAAGAAAGAAATCTGGCAAGTGAAGAAAGAGAAGTAACCTCCCTAGAAGGGGACCAGCATAGACGATGCCTGGCCTGTGAGCTCAGAGTGTTCAGGAACTGAGGTTGGGGGTGGGGACTCTAGAAAGCCATGAAGGCAGAGCAGGTCCTGCTGAGGCACAAGGTCTTCACCAACTGAGGATAGAGGACTCCAGAAGGTGGAGGAAACTGACATTATTGTGCCTGACCCGACAGGTCAAAGGGCCTACCACAAAAAAGGGTAACTTAAGGCCAGTCTTTGTAGGCTTAGTAGGCTAACGGGAAGGAAGCCCTCTGTCTACACTGCTGCGCAGCTGACTCAAGGAGCTGTTATGTTGAAGGGACAAAGACCCCGGCCTGAAGGAAGAGTTACTGTCCCCAGGGTGGGTGGCATAGGGTGTCAGCTGTAAGGACCAACCACCTCCCAGAGCAGAGACAAAGTGGGGTTTCCCCTTCTCAGGAATGTCAGGCATGGGGTAACAGTGGAGGCCCTGATCCCACTTTGCTCCTTCTGTAGTTCACTTCCCACCACCTTATGTCCTCCCCTCAAGGGCTTGAGCTTCCAGCCCAGAATGGGCTCTGGGGAACATTTGGATTTTAGGCTTATGGCTTCCTAAGTGCCCAGCCAAGCAGACTTGGGAGGCGGAGCTAGTGTCTGGGTGGCAACCTCTGGTCATACTACTCCCACAGGCCCGGGTGGCCCCTGGCCCTGACCCAAAGGCTGTCTCTCACTCCTTGGTCAGCAGGAAGGCTGTTTTCTAGCTCCTGTATGGGAGCAGGGGTGGGGAAAGTGCCTGGTCAGCAGCCTTTGGACAATGATTCTTGGATAATTTGACATCTGGGGTATTCCCCTAGGGCCAGCCTTCTGCCATAGCATGCCTCCTGGGCCCTGGTTGGAAGTGGGGTGGCTCTGGGTTGCCAAGGCAGGAACTGGACAGGTCCTGCAAGAAGAGCCTGCAAAAGCTGCTGAGCCAGGGAGAATAGGAGGTGTAAGCAGAGCCTTCTTAGCGTCTTCTGACTGCCTCCTCCCTGACTCCAGCCTCCCTATCAGTTCTCACACACTGTCTCCTATTCTGGCTGAATGTTTCTGCATTTCAAATATCCCCTCTCCTCTGCTCATTCAACACCAACTTAGTGGCAACCTTGGACCAGGCTCCTAGACTGGACCTGAAGTTCTAGTCAGCATATGTAACAGGGTAGGGTCCTGGAAGGTTGTGCCTAGAAGGTGCTTACCCTTTGTTTGCTAGGTGGGGGAAGGCCTAGAGGGAGCCCTGGGGTAGGGCCAGGATAGCAGGGCCAGCTGCTGGAGATATTTGGGCAACAGCTATTTCCCAACATGTATGGAAGGAACTTGATGTTTCAACAATTGGTGGATGCCAGCTGGGACCACTTTGGTCCAGCACAAAGCAAGACCCTTCTGGACTTCCCTCTTCTTCCACCTCCCTTAACGGCTCCCAGTGCCACTGTCCACCCCACTCAGTCCATGGTTTTCTTTTGGATCACCAAGTGGTATTAGTGCCCTAGGCTCTCCCTTCAGCCTCCCATAACCTGAAGTTCTGATGGCACAGGGCGCTCCATCTCTCACTCTCGTCCTTACCCCAGACATTTCTGCAGAGCCCCTGATTCTGTAACCAGTGCCGGCCTGCCCAGCCTGGGGTCTGCCCAATCTTTGACTTCTTATCGCATTTCCAGCTGTGACCAGCCAAGTGCATGAAGTGTGACCAAGGGTAACCAATGTCTGCTGCCTGTCCTGGCCCAGCCTGGCCAGGCTGTCCCTGGGGACCAGAGCTCAGGTTACTGAGTAACTAGGGGCTGTTCTCTCCTCAAAGCACCTCCTCCCAGTCTATTCCCTACTTTCTTGGCTCAGGATTCCCCAAAGTCCCTCAGCTCCTTTGGTTCCACTGAACTGTCCCCAGTATTTATGGGGAACAGAATAAGAAAGGAGCAAAGCACCAGAGTCATGAAGGCCTTGTTCATGCATTCACGCATGCGTGTATTCATTCATGCAATGCGTCTTTGCTGTAAGACCTCAGGCAAGCTACTGAGTCCTTTTTGCATCTCCTTGCCTGTAGGACTAAAAATATTCCCTCCGTGGAATCGCATAAAGATTCCAAGTAGTTGACGTAGAGTACTGGCATCTTTGTAAGCTTTTAACACATGCCAAGGTTATTATTGTTCTTTGATAAGAGGGCAAATGGGTCACTGACTTCAACGCGGCCAGCACCTGCAAGAGCTGATGGCCAGACACACATGACCTCCAAGAGTTCTATAGCAGACAACAGCGGAGCTCTGGAGCTTGGCCACACATACTCAGGATGGACAGTCAAACACTCAGTCCCAGTGACGTAACAATCCCTGAATGAAGGAGATTTGGGGGAAAGCAAAGTCTTCCTCTTTTCTACAAACACATATTGAGCACCTACTGTGTTCCAGACACTGCCTGGAGGTAGAAAACTGATGGAACAGCCTTGGGACAAGAGCTCCCCCTAGGGATGCGTGAATGAATAAGCAGGCAACCATTGCGCCGAGGGCTGTAATGGGACAGATGGTCCTGTGTGGCCCTACCCCAAGACGCGGGAGGACTCGGGTGGTTAGCGCAGGCTCCCAGCATGCCCAGGGGGAGGAGAGGTGGTCTCAGCACCTGAGGTCTGACAGCAGCCCTCGTGTGATAGGCTAATTCTTGCCTGACCTGCTCGGTAGCAGTCGTCATCAACTCCTGACCGGTAAAAGTGCTGAAACACAGCGAAGTGCCAAAGGTAAGAGAGTGACTTGGAAATGAGAGGGGCGTAAGTCAGTCCCATTCCGCCCTTTTGGAAAAGTTGCTTACCATACCTGGAACCTGCGATTCCCGCTCACTACACAAGGGAGGCTTGAGGCCCACCGCCGCTGAGCGGGACATGCAGTCTTCAGCAGCTGGAAGTCAGGGTTATTCCCGCTATGAGCATGAGCAAGGATGCATATGTATGAGAGTACCGAGTGGCATGCAGTTTCCTTCTTTCCCTTGCCTTCCTCCCATCCTAGCCTTAGGGGGACTTTGCTCACTCTTGAGGCTTAAGAAAACTGGCCCTCATCACTTAATTTTGAAAATAAAAGGAAGTGTGTTCATTCTCAAGCACTTGACTGGAGAAAAGGCTAGGAGGGACTCCTGGGTTTGATGGCGTTGCTTCTAGGACTGGGTCATATGGAGGTGACTGCAATTCAAGGGGGGTAGAGGGGTGAGAAGCACCCCCACCCCCAGTTTCCCTTCTGCCATTCTCCCTGGATTCCACCACCATCACCAAAGCAAATAAAGCCACACTGGGCCTGGGTCAGCCAGGGAAGTGGGCTTGGTCCCCACCACTTCCGTCTGCCAGCAGCGCTTGTCCAGGAACCCTGATTGCGATCTGCCCCATTCTCCCCATGCCCACCCAAACATGAATGATTTCTAGATGAGCACTCTTCTCTGGAGAGGGAGCAGCTGAGAGGAGCTGTGTGAATGGAAGCTGGACAGAACCATCGTGAAAGCTGGAAGCACATCTCTGCCCAGGGCCTGGTGAGAGACCTGCCCCAGCAGGGCAGATGCAAGTGGTGATGCGGGTCCTTAAAATCTGACAAGCACT